AAACCCATCACCTGATGGTTAAAAATAATTTTTTCATGCACCACATTTATCATTTTAATAAAATAAAACATCTTAATCATTAGAATTTGCACTCCTTTTGTGATACCAAAAAAACAGAAACTGGTATAACATCATATGCAGGAAGAACTTGATCCTAACAATCCATAATATGTCAAAACTTGATCCTAACAATAGAAGACGAAGCAACATGTAAAAGAGACCATTTTAAGCATATTTCTGAAGGTTATATGTGAAATACCTGTTTTTCTAATCCTTCATCAACATCCTCAAAAAAATCTTTTGCGGTTGAACCAGATATATTGGCACAGTCCTAGCAAAGAATGACATGACATATCAAATGAAAAGGTAAAAGAATGATGTGATATATCAACGTCAATTCCCACAAGAAAAATATATGCCAATTAAAATTATGTCTTCCATTGCAAGAATTTCGCAATCTTAAAGGAAAAACAAAGGGAAAATGAATACAATCAATGCATGAACTTGTAGTTTACCAGTTCATAACATAAAAGAATAAGCAAATTATGTAGTACATCCATGTTTTAAGATAGCATTTGGCTGTGCCAATTCTATTAATCAGTTCAAGACTGTGCTCTTTAAATTGACCTAATATAACAACAAATTTTCAGTTTAACATTATATGCAGGAAGAACTTGATCCTAACAACAAAAGACGAAGCAACATGTAAAAGAGACCATTTTAAGCATATTTCTGGAGGTTATATGTGAAATACCTGTTTTTCTAATCCTTCAGCAACATCCTCAAAAAAATCTTTTGTGGTTGAACCAGATATATTGGCAGTCCTATCAAAGAATGACATGACTTATCAAATGAAAAGGTAAAAGAATGATGTGATATATCAACGTCAATTCCCATAAGAAAAATATAACAACAAATTTTCAGTTTAATTTGGGTTGTAAACTGCATCAGCCAAATGATTTTCTTAGGAAGTAAAAAGCAAAGTGTATAAAATAAAATTCATAAGTTCATTTCAGAAGATGGCTGACAGAAAAGGGAAAAAAAAGAAGTGATAGGATAAATCATAAACTCTATCCGTTAATTCCAGGTAGTGGACAAGAACAATGTGGGAGAAGTCCCTGAATTAATAGTGGTAATTTATGTCAGAAAAGGAGGAGAAAGCCTGCACTTATAAATGCACAATAAATATTAACATAGTACCATTATAAGCAGTTGCACAATAAGTACAAATTCTAATTCATATAATTTATAAAGAAGAATAGACTGCACTTATAAATGGACATACTTGTAATCAATGTGTTCTGTTTCTCTAGAGAGAGCAAAGTCATGGGAAACAGGAATACCAACACCATGCACATGTTCTAGAGATGTATACATTTACGCACAGAAATATACATAATGCAAAAAATACCTGCAAAATTTCGGTGCAATCAATATATGATTGTGGCTCTTCTTCTTTTGCAGAAGCAGCTTTTAAAAGACCCTTGACATTAACCCCTTGTCGTTTTAAAAGAGCTACAAAATCATTGATGATAAAACAGGAGTAAGTATTTTAAACTGACAATGATTATACGAATGCAATAACTATATATAACAACAACAATTTTTGGAAAGGAAAATTCATACTGCTAATACAAGATATCTCAATTACTGACCAGCAACTTTGCCTCTAGTCTCTACCATCCTCAGAAACAGCTACATTAGTTGCCTGAGGCCATATATCAAACTTAGACCAAAACATAACAGTCTCAAATCCCTCAATTATAAGAATAATGTGGGACTTTGGTCTATCAAAGCTGTGGATTAATTCCTGTCAGTGATTTCAACAATAATTAAGAGAATCATTGAACAATTCAAATCAGAAATAACAACTAAGATTAGAAAAGAAAGGACTCAGTATTACTTCTGCAGCTCCACTCGCACTTTTTC